AACCGGTATAGAAATGGGTGCTTTTTTTACGTTGTTTACCTTAGTTACTGGGGGGTTTCGGGGAAGACCTATGTGGGGCACCTTTTGGGTGTGGGATGCTCGTTTAACCTCTGTATTCATCTCGTTCCTTATTTACCTGGGTGCACTGCGTTTTCAAAAGCTTCCTGTCGAACCGGCTTCTATTTCAATCCGTGCTGGACCGATCGATATACCAATAATCAAGTCTTCAGTCAACTGGTGGAATACATCGCATCAACCTGGGAGCATTAGCCGATCTGGTACATCAATACATGTTCCTATGCCCATTCCAATCTTGTCTAACTTTGCTAACTTCCCATTCTCAACCCGTATCTTGTTTGTTCTGGAAACACGTCTTCCTATTCCATCTTTTCTCGAATCTCCTTTAACGGAAGAAATAGAAGCTCGAGAAGGAATACCAAAACCTAGTTCACTCGCTGAGTCTCTTTGCATCCATGGCTGAATGGTTAAAGCGCCCAACCTATACCAACCTAATAAAGAGGCAAGTAGGTTCGATTCCTGCTGGATGCACTTGGAACGTTCAGTTCAATTGCTGCTCACGAAATTGATACATATAGCTCGTCCTTATAGCTTATGGGGCACTTCACTCGCTCAACACTCGTTCAAAACATCCACTCGTTCTTCACTCGCTAGAGAAAGAAAAAAGATAGATAACTTAAAATCCCGCCGCAACTATAGACGAGAGAAAACCAGTCTCAGCAGGCACTAAAGGGGAAGCTTAGAGACGGAATTCAAATAGTTGAATAGAGGAGTACGTGGGGGGTGAAGTAAAGATAACTATAGCAATATAGACCGGGCCTGCTTCCCATTCATTCTTTTAGAAGAATGCTCTTCGGCGGGCGCATCGCTTTCGCTTCTGTAATAGAGGCGTTGTAATAGGCGCGCTTAGCTAACGAATCAAAACCTTGGTCCGCTTTCATTGGTCTAGCCCGGTCATTGCTTATCTCTTTCTTCTCTATCGTAGAATTGGGGGAAAGAGTGCACCAATAAGGGGAGGTGAAAAAGCAAGAAAGAGGGAAGTAGAGTAGTTGGCGCACGCTGGTCAATCCAGTACGTACGTCGCTTTCGTTCTTTCTATTCAATATCCCATTCCCGGTCGCATCTGTTCTATTCAGCCAATCCCTTGCTGCTTGCTTCATCCCGCCCTGCCTGGTCATCGGTCGTACGTACCCTATCTTGAATCTGGAATCGAATCTGTGTCGGCATCTGTCCCACTGGCTGTTGAAGGTGCTGGCTGATGAAAGACATCCCCGGAATGCCCCCTTTCGTGCCTATCTCACTTGTTTACAGGTCTTTTAGCGCTGCTTTCACATGATGCAATATCTAGGCCTCCTAGATCTGTTCTCTCGCCCAAGCCTCATAGCATTCATATTTAAAGCACTAAGTATTCCCTGCCTGCTTAGATGCTTCCATCCGCCTATCTTTACCTTTTTCCTCGAATAGAGAGAGCTCTAGTAGTTCTTGGTAGGAGGGAACTAATACCGTAGATAAGGTTCATTGCAATTTTCTCCCCCTGGACAAGAAATGGTTATGAACTTACAAGGTCAATGCACCTCCTTCCCCGGAACACCTTATTAAAGAGTGATTGCCGACTTTAGGTCTTGATACCGACTCTGTTGACTTCACTCTTGACTGCTTTTTCTCTTTTTAGAGTCATTCACACTCACAACTCTTATCTTATTGAACACTCCTAGCTATAAGGCGAGAAAGTGACTAGGCCGAAAAGGCGGAGCGAGGGAGTACCTACGAATGAAGAACTGGTAACTAACCTCTTGACTAACTGTTCACTCCTTATAACGAAGGAAAGAAAGCTTATCCACGCAATTAGTTAACACTACCTTTACTTTGCTTTAATGAATGCTTAAATCCCTACTTCCACCGAATCTCGTGTAGCAGGAACCATCCGACTTGTTTTTCATAGTACACATTTCAAAGAGTGCCAATTGATGCAGAGAAGGAGCGAAAAAGCCGCTCGACTGAAAGTATCGGAGCGAAAGGCCAACTCGGAAGAGAAGGAGCAGTTCTCGCTGTGAACGAATGGGCTCTTAGTACTAATCCTAATGCAAGAAGGGTTCTTCCCCAAGTAAGAGAGAGACAACCGATTCACCGACACTAAGTTGTTGTATCGGTCTTTCCGCTGCTATTGATGTTGGAGGCATAAGGGCAGCTATTTCATATGCTGCAAAGTCAGTAGTACTTTGATTTGACCGGGGTATGGAAAGGCTGATTAGTCTTTTCGAAAGACAGTTTCTAGGCGTGCTAGCATGCTAAGTGAATGGTAGCATAGTCTTGGAGGAACGATGTGATGTCTTCAGTTGCTTAATATTATCCATACGAGAAAGAAAATTTGTCTTCTGGCTCTGTTTCCCTCGGGTGGGAATACGCTCTTCATCAGATCTTGCTAGAAAGATCATAATAAAGTCAAGCTCGTAGCTAGGCTAGGATGACCTCCTAATACTAAAGAGGCGGGTTCCCTCTGTGAAAGATTCAACCCGTAAACTGAAATTCCTCTAACCCATTCAACTAAGTCTTACTGAAGGACTTGTCAAGGAAATGAACTGGAGGACTCTTGGCTGTCTAGAACTATTAGGTAGCAGAGGAAGCCACTGATGATGAATCCCGTTGTTTAGGAGGAGGCCCGTGGGAAGGAAAGGAAAGAGGGAACTCTGATCCACCACCCACAGACAGAAGATGCTAACGAGCCATTACGCACTAAATACTTGCTTACACACGCTTACCGAAGCGAAGTCCTGCACCGCTGAAAACAAGGGAGAATTATTTGGTTATGCCGTCACTCCCTGATTTCCGTAAAGTGGTTATTTGGTTTTGAACCGAGTTGTAGAGGTTTAGGAGCGAGACACCCTCATTCCGTTAAGCGTAACCCGGTATTGCCAAAGAAGGTTTTGCCAATGTAGCTTACTCCTCTTGAGTTTGTTTGTTCGAATAACATCATTATTCCCATCTAGCTGCATTACGGGAATTGCTTTACTGCTTTCCCCATTCCCTCTCATGATATCCCATATGGTCTAGTGGCTTTCTCACCTCTCCTAACAGTCTTCTCTTCTCTCGCGGGCTTAGGGGATAGAGAAATTAGGTGATGCACTTCCTTTTCACTCTACCGCTCCGTGGGCTTGTATTTAAGGTTAGGTAGCTGTCCAAGGGGCAAAGAGCCTGGGTTTTTGACCACAGCTTCAGCATTTGCCCACTTCCGAAGATGCAAACTAGATGGGGCATTAGCCTTCTTCTGTATTACTGTGCTAAAATCATTCCCTCAGAACAGAAAGAGGATCTCCACCTTCAATGCACGGAGGCTTGCTATGCGATATCCTTTAGGGCTTACTCGACTCTAGATAGCCTTTCTTTGGAAGAAATTCCATGTCGTGATATTCTGCGTAGGGATGCCAAATCTTATATGCTGGTACAGTTTGACTTGTCTCGCTATGGAAAATAGCAAAAAGAATACCGAAGGCTAAGGCTGTGTCTAGGTCGAAAGTGGATGGAAAAAAACTCCGATGGACGGATCAACTCCCGGGAAACTCCCTAGCTGTATTTTGTTGTACATCGCTGCCATTAAACCACCTAGGCCTGATTGATGACGGTAGCGACCAGCTTTCTTGGGGCTCTCAAAATCTGGGCTGGGCTTTTTACTACTAAATCAGCGTATGAACAGCTTTGCCACACACACTGGCATCCAGCTGCTAATTCATGACGTCTTGTTTGGCAATGGCCGAGACCACAAAGTATACGTACCTTTCTGTGGTTAGCTCTTCAAGGCAAGCTGCTTACAAATTCAGAACATCAACGTAGACACCTGTGTGATGATGCAACATGCACTTTGTGCTTGAGTGGTGAGGAAGATGATTTTATGCCTTACGGGACTGTCTTGAAGCCTAGAATGATTCTTTAGTAATTGTATATTAATACAGAAAGAAGTAGTTAAAATAGCTGCTCCAGCGAAGACTTTAGATGCAGACATAGCTAATGGCGAAAGGCCTTGAATCACTACTTTCCATTCCATTGGGTCTAGCAGGCAAGAGGGGAGGATGCTATCCTATTATGCTATGCCCCAGTTGCTGCGGTGCCGAGATGCCTTCTTAAAGTAGTTCGCTTAGTAAATCTTTTGCCTACATCTCTAGCTGCACAAGGCCAGTATGTGAATACTTGGAGAGTGCAGTACAAGGTAGGTGGTCTTTGCTGCTTGGTTTATAAGCTCGCTCGTAAGCCGGGGATAAGCTGTTCTATCGGAGTCCCGATTCTCGTTAATCTTTACACGCTGGCCGGGGCTCCCTTCGGGGATAGCACGTCCGGAAACACCCTGAACTCAGACTCGAACTCAACAATGGAATCCAATTGGAATACAGTCAACAATGAGATTGAAAATAACAACTAATAACTCCAAGTCGAACTCAAAGAACAACAACTCCCTTAAGTCTCCCTACAGCTATCGAAGGTATCCGTTCGGGCCTAACGACTAGTTAGTCCCTCACTCTATTAAGACTACAAAAGATACATTCTGTTATTGAACTGCAGTGCATACAATATGTTTCAACTAATAAATGAGAGTTCTAACAAGAGAGATTAATTGGGTCATTCGCTCACTACCTCTCTACGCTCTCTCCCCTACGTTTTTAGGACTACGGGGAGAGCGCTCGGAGTCCGTTTCCTCACTCCCACTTTCAGATAAGAAATGGATTGATCCGTTCACTCGGGCTTCTTTCGAGGAAGCCCTCGTTCTCTCACTTAACTTACTTGTTACTAATTTCATATGTGATCGCAGAAACTATACGCAGGTATAGCACGCACGTGGGGTAGGCGAGTGTTTTCCTCTATCTAGGAATGGAGAAGCAGAGGTTAGCTAGGCTTTCCTATAGTTTTCACAGCCCTTCTGTCCCTATACTGTCGAGTATAGACAAGACGGCTGCGATTGGTATGACTGGAGTAGATGAACTAATTAGCCTGCTGCTCTAAAATAACTCCTGGAAGACGCCACGGGTCGTTTTCCCCTTCTTGGTGCTTGTCTCTTCAAGGAAGTAGGAATGCCGAGTGAAGAAGGTGGCTCCATACTGGGATGTTCTCCAAGAAGTTGTTTAACACAAAAACGACTTCAAAGGGGACCCAGGTGGTGGACCAAAGCTGAGCTTTGGCCCTCGTTGTCCTATCGGATAGTTTGGTAAGTTGGGGTTGTTAGGGAGGGGGAGAACGAACAGAACTAGATGCGCTTGACCTAGCTTTGCCTAAGAGGAAAAGTATTGATTGATAAAGGCTTTACTGGATCGCTCACAGGCTTGCTTTCGGGAGTGGGAAATAGAACTGTTTTTGGTACAGCCCGTGGAGCCTTTTGCCTAAAATCCCTAGCTTAAGATGTCTACTTCAAACTCGCCTAAAATCCCATATCCACTTGACTAAGGGACTTTCTGACTCTCACAAGGCTGCTCCCAGGAAGAGGAAAAAGCGATGGAGCAAGCAGATCAAATGTAGAAGCCAGGGTTAAGGCATTAACAGTAGTAGCACCAGGTTAGACCGTAGTCAAAGACGGAAAGGAAAGTAGCTATAGATCCTGGAATCAAAGACAGGTTGGGACAAATCCTGATCTTCCAATTGAGTCAATAAGATAGATGACTGAATCGGACATATGAGATGAGCCCGTAACCCGTCATCTTTGCGTGAAGACCAGATGCGATCTTAGCTTCCTTTCAAGATGCAAAATCTTTATCAACTTGAATGGGTTTGGAGGGGATCTTCATCTATCAATCCAAGGTGGCTTCATTGATTGCTTTTTGAAGACGGGAAAAACCACAGTGACGCTTACTCCCATAACACGACTGATACCTTCAGCGAATCTTACTTCGTAGACAAAAAGAAAGATCGAAAGTGGAAAGTGGAGTTGGGGAAGCTATTACCATTCAGATAGAAGCTCTTGACGAAACGAATTCTATAGGGCTCCTATCTCAGTTGGTTAGCTAGTGTCATTAGCCGGGCTTCTTCTTCTTCTTAGCCTTTGGATTCTTAGACTTGGGAGGATGTATGTAGTAAGCAGGTGGGGGCACTTCTAATCCCGTTGGGGATTCAGTAACAGGGTGTGCTTCCTCAGGAAACCTCTCAGGAAACTTCGATTTCATCTCTGAACGCAGTTTAGCTATTTCTGACTCCAGACTAGCAATACGCTGAGCATCTTCTTTTTGTTTCATAAGAGAGAGCTCTTCAAGCTCAGCATATTTCTCATGAAGAATCTTCAATTCTAATTTGAGAATAGAGCTTTCTTGACCACCGAAGTCTATTACATCCTTAGGTTTAGTGTCTACCCAAACATTGTTCTCATCATACACAGGGTCCCTTTTGGTAGCAGCATTGATTCCAAGGCTTACTTGGAAATCCTTCTTGGCGATGTTAAGGGTATGCCAATCCATTCTGAAGTTAGATTCCACGGTGACCTGCTTAGTTCGAGAAAGATCAGCGTATTGTGACTCAAACCATTCATAATTGACCAAGCCTTTAGCAGGACCTTTGTGCTTAATTATATCACCAGCATCGTCAGTGACTAAAGTATAACTCTTGGGTGCTAAGAAGATACCTTTCTTTACAAAGTGCTCCTGCTTTAACTTACCCAATTCTATGGAAGAGATTCAATCTTCTGGAAGAGGACTTCCTAGAACAGCGGAGTCAGTATCAGTGTAGTAACAGTCAGATCTGGAAATGTATTGGTACATATGAATACGAGCACAAGCTGTAATAGCAGCGGACAATTGAACAGCCGATATCTTAGGAGGATTCCAGTCAGAGTCGTTAACATTTCCTGTATTGCTCACGTAACTTACGATATAGTAATGCTCGCTCAGCTTGTCCCCAAAGATCAAATTGTCCCTCTGTGTCAAATAGTCATATCGTTCCCTATTGCATACCTCTGTTATAGTACTGCAAGGAGAAATACCAAATCTACCATAAAGTGAGTTCATGAGGATCTGCTTATCTTATATTAAGATAATATTTATAGTGAGTTAGCGTACCTACAATCGCTTGCTTGATTGCCCTCTTGCTTTAGCTACTTACTCGGGAACTAGCTTCGCACCTCACCCCGATAACTCAAAGGTGCGTAACTTGCTTGTTAAAGGGGTCTTTCCGTTCCTCCGGTGTGGGATAGTTTTTCCCTAGTCCGGTCCTATAAGAATAGTTCTCTAGACATCAACTCATGGTACTCCCCGGGCCCCTAACAACAGAACTCCTAGGTTAGCTACAGCAGTTATGGCATCAGCTTCTCGAGGGAAATCAGGCCTAAAAGAACCTCTTTCGTCATTCGAAAGTGGCATTTTAGCTCCTTTTCGTGAAACAGATCGGAGATCAGGTCTTATCGATTCATACTTTTAATACGTCTTTTTACCACATTAACATTCAAAAATACCCCTTTTTCCTTTAACACGCTAGTGCCCTGATCTAGTTCTCCTATCTTTGATACTTCCTTAACGGTTGCTTTAAAGGACATGTAACGTGCGTAGCTTGTTCCACAATTACACGGTTCTGCAGGTATCCCCTAACCTAATACCCGCTACTAAAGGTGGTCGTAGATCAGTAGCTAAATCGCCTGTATAACTGATCTACGAATAGCCAACGCCTCTAACAACGTATTTCAGGGGAGGGGGTTAGGGCGGTTCCTTAGGCACCTTCACATCTACATCTACTTATAACAATAAATAACAAGCACGTACACTTTTTCAAGCTTGAATCCTGTTATCTTAACTGAGAATGTCGTTACTTATAGCCTTTCTTTTAACGGCAGCTACACATTGGTCGAGACTCACACGACAGTCGATACTCAGGATTTCGTTTAGCTAAGTTGCCTGTAGACTAGAATAGTAAACCTCACCCTAATTTAACATCTGCTTGAACTCCCGATCTACTTAAAAAAAAACTTCTCGAGCTGGATTATTATATGATGATTTTTTCACTTTCCATATATAGAAATAGAAACGGATATACTAGAAACGACATCTCTTATGTCAATGACACGAAAGGGATATGAAATGAATGGAATTGGGATATGGATGGAATATAATGAAATAGAGCCACTTTGGGGTTCCCTATGACATGAGGC